CCTAAGTAAATTTAGCTATTGGCAGATGGGAGGAGGTGGACAGAGCAGCTCTCCTGTTTATGCTCCATGCTTCTGCACTCAAAAGCAAAGCTTACAAGCAGGCATGTCCTTCCAACTCACAGAGCACAGTGACTCTGCCAGGCAGGCGAGAGGCTGGATTGGGAAACAGAACCTCAAAACAGCAGAATAAACACACCAGCTACCAAATACACAAAGTCCTCTGTGATTATAGTCAGACAACAGAGTTCCCAGGCAATGAAACACAATATAGAAGGCTGGTGGCCAGTTCTATGGCATAGCAGTAATGTGCTGCTCAAGAGAGCCTGGACCGCACATGGCACCTGTGGTTTGAATATTCAAACCAGTTGGCCTGAAACATACTAGGTAAGCATAGGCATTCCCAAGGTCCAATAGGCCAGAAGACTGAGGAACAGAATCGCAGTGTGACTGGATGCTGTGGAAGGTGTTCCTCTCTCACTCTCTCTCTCTCCCGCACACTCTTACATGTGTGCATACATGCTCTATCTTAAGTAAAGAAAAACAATGTTTTCGAAAACTGAAGGCTACAAAATAAAACAGAAAATCTAAAATGAATAAAGATAATTCATAGAAGTGGAGAGATGAAAAGCAATATGTTCTAATGAATATACTTCCAAAGAGATTTTAGAAGATATCCATAACAATAGACAATACAGAAAAACAGCAATCAGAACCCAGGTATGACTTCAGTGTAATAATTATTATGGCAAAAATAAAAAGCATATTAAATTAAAATTAAAAATTAAAAGTAAATTAAATTATAGTATGAGCAATACTGTATATAAAATAATTATCCCCAAATTTAAGTCTGATAAAGTATATCAGGATGTAGAATAACAAGGCAAAGGGGTATAAGTAAGGAATATAGGTTAAGAGGCATGGAAGATCAGTCTAGTATGACCAAAATTCAATTAAAATTTATTCTTACAGAGATCAAAGAGAATAGAGAAAAGAAAGCTTATCAGCTAAGAAAATGAGTGGACGCATAAATAGATGGGTGAGGGAGATATGGAACAGAAAAAGGGTGGAAAGAAAGGAGGAAAGGAATGAAAAAAGGAAAGGAGGGAAGGAATAAAGAAGAGATAGAGTTTTCTCTATTTCTGGGAAAACTCTTCTTCAAAACTGAAAGAGAAATTAACATATTTCTAGATAAACAAACACTGTTAGTTTATCACTAGCAAATATACCCTGTAAGAAATACTAAAGAACATCTTTTAGACTGAAGTGAAAATGCATACAAAGTAACTCAAATTGACATGAAAAAAATAAGAACTATCAGTAAAGGTAACTACATAGGTAAATTTTAAAAACAACATAAATATATTTTAATTTGTGCTTTTTTCTTTCTTTTAACTTTTTAAAAAGATAACTACAAAAACAAATTATTATAAATCAATTTTGGTAGGCACATAAGATATAAAGATATAATATGACAAAAACAGCATAAAGAAAGGAGGGGTACAAAACTGTACAGGAGCAAAGTTTCGTAGATAATTGAAATTAGGTTGATATTAATTTGAACTAGAATGCTATAAATTAAGATGATAATTATAATTCCCAGGGCAATCACTAAGAAAATAATTTTTAAAATCTATGGTAAAAAAAAGGAATAAGGGAATTTAAATGGTACAGAAGAAAATACCTAACAAAAGTGAAGTCAGTAATACAGAAACAGAGGAACAAACAGACATAAAATATGTAGAAAACAAATAGCAAAATAGCAGACATAAATTTGAATTTATCACTAATTACATTAAATATAAGTGGACTAAACTCTCCAGTGAAAAGGCAGCGATCAACAGGATGAATTTAAACTAAAACATGTTGTATCTATATGATTTTTAAAAGACATTGGATTCCAAAACAGTGGAAAGAATTGGAAAAATTATACAATGCAAATAGTAACTAAAGAGAGAAAGAATATATTGAATTGCATATTTTAAAATGGTGAATTTTATGGTATACATATTATTTGGACCCAACTGGTCCAAATATATCAATTAACAGTCATTTCGAGAGGGCAAAAATAAAGAGCACATTTTGATTCATTTCTAACATGTATAAGTCTGGAGGACATTATGTTAAATGAAATAGGCCAACCACAGAAAGAGAAATATTTCAGGTTCGTTTTCACATGTTAAAGCTAAAAAAGTGGACCTCATGGAAGCAGAGAGCAGAATAGTGGTTACTAGGAGCTGTAACGGGGAGGGCAGATGGGGTTGGGAGAGTATGGTCAGTAAAAACAAAATTATAACTAGATATGAGAAATAAATTCTAGAGTATAGTAACTCTATATGGTAACTTTATGTAACAGCAACTTATTGTATATTTCAAAAAGCTAGAAGAGAGGATTTTTTCATTATTTTAACACAAAGTAACAATAAATGTTTGAGGTGGTAGATAGGATGATTATTCTTATCTGATAATTATACATTATATACATGTATCAAAATATCACATTCTACCCCATAATATGTACCATTATTACTTGTTAATTTAATATAACAATAAAAATAAATGACAAATTTGAAACAAATTGGAGTAATAAAATGCAATAATTAAACTAATTCAAATTAAAACTTACCATAGATTCTACTGAATTTAGAAAATATAAATAAAAAGATTGATAGTTAATTATACTAAAATGCAAGACTCTGAATGATACCAGCATCAAAACTGGAAAAAGTAAAGCAATAGGTCAAGAGAAAATGTTCACAATATATATGAAAACAGATTAGTATGCAGAATGTATAAGAGCACATAAAAAGGGAAATCAACAGAAAATAATCAAAAGATATGAAATATCTAATTCACATAAGAATAAATACAAATATTTATGAACATCTGACAATATATAAGCAAGCTCAATAATAACAAATGAGCTGTAAATTAAAGAAATCATTAGGCAACCATGATTAATACTTTTAAAAATATTATTTACAGAAAGTAGTAATGAAGCTGTATAGAAATTGGTACTTGGATGAACCATCAGTGCAAGTATAAATTGATATAATCTTTCTGGAGAACAATTTGACAGTATTTTCAAAATAGGCATACTTAAACCCAGGAATTTCATCTCTAAATATCTATCCTAGAAAAAAGTGTGCATATGTACACAAGTAAATGTAGAATGTTTATCGTGGCCATGCTTATGTATCAAAAGGCTGAAATCTACCCCAATGACCATCTTTAGACCCATGGTTAGATAAATCGATTTATAATCATTCTATTACATAGCCCCCACTCCCTTTCCTGGATATCAAAAAAGCAAGGCAATTTAATTTTTTAAAACAATAAAAACAATACTCATAGCATGATCCCATTAATAGAAAGCAAAATAGAATAAAACTACCTTCTATACACCCAAGTGTTAACTCTGGCCGCCTCTAGAAAGGAGGTTAGGTTAGAAATGAGTGAAATAGGCACAGCAAGTGGTATAGTAGTAAAGGTGCTGGACTCCCACATGCAGTGAGTCCTGTTCTCAGCGGCTTAAACTCAGGCAGAGTGCTCCCACATGCAGTATGAGTCCTGTTCTCAGCGGCTTAAACTCAGGCAGAGTGCATGTGCATGTGTGCCCAAAATCCTGAGAGGAGAATAGAGGAGACGGGATTGCAGAATGGCTATCCCTCCTGGGGGGGTGATTTTTCACTTTCTCTCTCTCTGTCTCTTCTGTTTCTCCAGTGAGCACATGAGCCTATAGCAAAAATCTCTCTAACAACAACAAAAAAGAAACAGGTGAAATAAACTTCCATTTTTTAATTTATACATCACTTTATTGTTTAAATTTTTATAAAAATTTAATATAAGATTTATATAAAATGTGAATTTAAATGTATTTAAATATTGTTTCACTTAAATTTTAAATATTGGTTTAAATTTATATATTGCTTAACTTAAGTTTTAAACCTTAGTTTTAATGCATAACAAAATAAATAAATGAATAAAGAAAATGTGGCACATATATACAATGAAATGCTACTCAGCCATAAAGAACAATGAATTCCTATCATTTGAGGCAAATTGGAGGAATCTACATAATAGGATGTTAAGTGAAATAAGCCAGGCTATGAGAGACAAATACTGTATGTCTCTGTTTAACAAATGCTGATTGTCCTCACTCATTAGAGAAAGCTAAAGGACTCAATAGCATAGAAGTAGTGAGAGAGAAATGGTATATAGAAGCTGTATGGAGGGTGGTGATGGAAGGGTTTCAGAAGAAATTGACACACAGAGTAAGTAAACAAGTAGAATAGGGGAAAAAACAAACAAAATATTTAATAGACACAAAAACAAAAAGTTATCTGCTCATGATAATGTATATGGTAATCTTTGACTTGACTAATATGCACCATATTCATACTGGAAAAAAACATGTTGTACACTGTAAAGATGTAATGATTAAATGTAAATAAAAAATAAATTAAAAAATGAAATAGTTAATGAAACAGTGTACCACCGTAGAGTAAAAACCACTGTTGACAATTCAATATATATTTCCAAAAAGGTGATTAAAATGAATCTTGATTGTATACAATATAATATAATGCTTAATGCTGAAGATGGCAAATATGTTTATATCTTTGATTTGATTATTATACACTGCATACATGCTTTAAAACAATACTGTAAGGACCAGCAAATGGCATAGCAGTTATGTCACTGGATTCCTACATGGCTGACTGCAGTTCAAGTCCCAGACCTGGTCCCAGGCACATATGCATGTATGCCCAAGATTCTGGGAGGTGAATGAAGGAAAAGGGATTATGTATGACCATCCCCCAGGTAGGTGATTTCTCACTTTCCCTCTCACTGTCTCTGTTTCTCTCTCCAGCAAGCACACACGCCCTAAGATAAAAACAAAAACAAACAAAACGAAAAAACTGTACCCTACAAAGATGTGTAATAATTCTATGTAAATCAGAAATTACAATAAAGAATTAATAAATGAATAAATTTCTTACCTTCCAAATTTTCTATCTTTTCAATGTTGTTTAAAGCTAAATTCAAATATTCAAGTTTCTTGAGTTTGCTAACGTTTTCTGAAATATACAAGTATACAAATAATTAACCTTTAAGATGAAAGACACTTTTACAAAATCTATTTTGAAAATGACACAGAGAATCTAAAGATTATAATTATGGTTATTGAAATCATGTTGCTTTTTTCAAATCTCTATGAGTGCATTAAACACACAGTTGTCTATGCAGCATCCATTTCCTCCTCCATCCTTCCTAACAGAAGTTTTGCTCATGTCTTCTTAGAGCCCCAATTCCAGGAGGTTAGGTTCATCTACCAGAGGCAGCACACAGCAATTTAATCTCCCTTGCTAGTAACAGCTCAGGAGCCTAGGCTTAGGCCAGCCAGCTCATGGCAGTCTCCTGGCAATGACGTGGGACAGAAGAGAAGAGAACATGTACTCCCATTAAGATAGAAGGGAAAGACATAGTACACGCTTGGACATTTCCTGTCCCTTTGTCCTGCTAGATGCTAAGAAGGGAGGAAATGCTATCCCTTTTAGTATTCACACTCGATCATGAGGGAACCAGCTATAAGATGAAGCCCATATTGTTGCCAGTGGAATAGAGAGAAAAAAATCAACCAACCTTGAAGTCTTCTCTACCTCTGGACTTACAGTTGGGTAAGAAAACACACTTCCTTATTGTTAAGCCACATTGCATTTCTTTTACTTGAAGCCAAATCAACCTGATACAGGATTACCTTTTTTTTTTTTTTTTGGAGAGATTTTCACTGTAGGGCGTGGGCGCTCGCCAGACAGACAGAGAGAGACATAGAGACAGAAAGCGAGAAATCACCCCCCAGGGGGGATAGTCACGCCGCAATCCCTTCTCCTCCATTCTCCTCTCGGGATTTTGGGCACGCACGCACACGTGCCCGGCGTGAGTTTTTTAAGCCACCGAGTCCGGGACACAAACCGCGGTCGACTACGTGGGAGTCCAGCGACATAGCCATTACGCTAACTACTGGTTCCCAGGATTACCTTTTTCAATAACCATGAAAGCTCAAACAAAACAAGCATAAACAAAACAAAGAATTGCTGTAAAATGGGACCTTTTAAAAACAGCTAATAATACCACAGGTAACATTGTTGAGTGTTTGCCATACAAACAATCTTGCATATACTATTTAATCCTTACAATAACTCTATAAAGTAAAAAGCATTTTTATCCATATTTACAAAAGAAAATACCAAGGTAGAGAGAATTAATCATCTGTCCAAGATTAAGTGCTAGGGGTAGGAAATTCAACTCCAGAGCCTGGCACTAAATCATTATACTACACATTAACAAAACAAAACTGCTTTCTAAGATGGCATGAATGTAGAAAACCATGCTAACAGAATGAGTATTTGGGGCAGCCTCACTCAAGTAATACCTCTTCTGCCCATTTCTTGGGATATTTTAGGATTAAACATGAGGATTTTTTTTCAGGCTTTTTTTAAAATTTATATTTATTTATTTACATTCATTCACTATACATCATTACAACATACAAAATGAGACTTCCCATCCAGAATACACTGTATATTGGCTCAATCAAGCACATCAACATACAAGTTATCGTCTACAAATAATTTTCCATTTCTTGTTTCCTGTATATTTTGCTTTTTTTATTCCCCATCCTTGATTCCCTATCTCTCACCCTCTGCCGTGTCCCACCCTCCTCCCACACTGTCTCTGGTATCCATGGTTGCTTTCTATGCCTTTTCTCCCCATTTTATTGATTCACTAATGAACTTAACTTAAATATTTCCAATAGCAAACACAGCTGATATATACATATCCATGAACACAAGTCTGACCTTAGGCATAAACCTCAGTGAGTAGAATGAACATACTATAGCACCTAGCTGGGGCTATATAGCTTACTGCAGTCATCAAATATGCATTGTTTTTAATTTCAAGAAAAACAGTTTTTGTGTTTTTTTTCTCCTGAAACTTTTTTTAATTAATTAATTTACATTCATTGCCTAAGCATCATCACAGCATACAAAATGTGGTTTCCCATCCAGAATATACTGCATAGTGGCTTAATTATGCATGTCATCATCAATAATTTTCCATTTCTAGTTTCATATATATATATATATATATGATCCTCTGCCCTTTCCCACCCTCTTCTCACACTATCTCTGGTGTCTACAGTTGTCATCCATTTCTTTTCCTCCCAGATTTTATTGATCACACAATTTCTTAAATAATCTAACTACTTTCAATAGCCAGTTCAGCTGGTAATTTCAAGAGAAGCAGTTTTGAATTGGTAAAGAAATTTGCTTAAAACTTAAAGCCTGGAAACAGGCTAGAATTCTGTTCAAACAGTAGGTACATGAACCTAATGACAGCTCAAGACAGGACAAAGCTCTTCAAACTGGACAACAAAGACTAGAAGAAAAGTAGCACTATTTTAGTTAAAAGTCACAGAATGTTATTTCACCAGTTCAGTCTCATGACTAAATCTATCTTCTGTTGTGGTTCAATCTTCCTGACTGAATTCTGGGGTATAATATTCAACTCCAGACTTGTTTCTATGATTAAGCTGGCCATTTTCTTAGTTTTTGAACTCTTATTACTGTGTGTCTGCATTTAATTTTCCTGACATAGCATTCCCTTGAGAACTTATGGAGATCTGGTCTGATGTTGGTAAATTCTTTCAGGTTTTGTTAATCTGAGAATGTTCTTGTCTTTTCTTCCCATATGAAGGATAATCTTACTGTGTACAGTATTCTTGGTTGAAATTCCTTTTCCCTTAACACTTGGAATATATTTTCCCATTCTTTCCTCGCTCACATTGTTTCCGATGAGAGGTCTGCTGCTAGTCTGATGGAATATCCTTTGTAGGGAACTTGCCGTTTCTCTCTTGCCAATCTTAGTATCTTGTCTTTGTCTGTGGTTTTGGTCA